CTTTTGACTCCATGGAGCGAGTAAGTAATTTATTTATCTTGATTATAAATTGAGGGTTGCACATATTATTAGTGTTGTTGATTAAGTTATTGCCTATGATGGCTAGATTTGACTCATTATAATAGATTTTATTGTTGTGATGCCGAAAGTGGCTATGCAGTTATGATTTGAGGCATATGAGGTCGATGTTATATTGTTGATATTGCTATGATATGTAGAGTAGCGTTGGTTTCTTTATTTGTATCCTTGTGGCTCGCTAGCAAGTGAAGAAAATTTAGATAGGCTTAGAAACAAAGGAAGCTCTGCCGAAATTATTGAGAATTTGGAGAATTAGTCAAAAGTTATGAGTAATAATGAGGTCATTTGGTGCAATGGTCAAAAGGGGTTATGATTGAATATTTGAACTTGATTTCGTCTTCACCATGACATTCGAGGATGAATGGTTCTAAGTGCGGGAGATTGTAAAGCCCCAGAAAATTTTTCTAATATGATTAAGCCGAACTCGAGCTTAAGAGAATATTTTGCAAGATCTCGAAGTGCTTGCGAACCCACACGAGGGTGATAAGATCATTACAATACTTAGTCATAAAGGTAAGATGGATGTAAGATTCTCAAGTTGTATGATTAAAGGCATAGATTGGAATGATTGAGCTAAAATAGAGGAAAAGATTCCAGCAGACCTGCGTAGCCTTCTTGCATACCCTACGCAGGCTGCGTAGGCAAAAAAGAATGGAAGTGAGGGAGAGGACTTAAGCTGCGTAGGCTACACAGGCCTGTATAGCCAATCTGTGTAGGCTACGCAATTTGCCTACGCAAGCTATTTTTTATAAAAATAGGGGGATTCGGGGAGAGAGAAAGAAATTTTATTTTTGACTAAGTTTTGGGTTCTAGAGAGAAGGTGGAGCATCCCCAACCCAAATACACATCAAAGGTGAGTTTTATGATATTTTTATAATGGATTAACACTAGTTAATGATAGTATTAACATCTACATGGATTGAAATTCATAGGGATTCCTCTAATCTTCAAAAATCATTCAAAAGGGTTCAAATTAGGGTTTGCGCTACAAGAGGTAGAATCCCTACCCTACACTTAAATACATATATAGAATAAGTATTTGGAATGTATTGTGAAGTAGAAAGTACCAATTGGTTGAAGAATTATGCTAGTCCTTGAAATGGGTATTGTGAGTTAGGGTTCTTGAATGGAGAAGAAGATGAATAGTGAAATTTTGAATCTTGTTAAGATGATTGGTGATCCTAGTGCTTCAATAGCTTAATCATGATTAAGTATTGAATCGTATAACATGTATTAAGCTTAAAGGCCAATGATGGAAACAACTAAGGATAAAAGGGATATGTATAGGTGAATTGGGCTTGTTGAAGACTTATAGTTAACTTGTGAACCTTAAATGGTATCGACAAATATTTGGATACATTTTGATGTCTTGGGATGTCTAATGTAGATATTGGCTTGTTGGCGACGTTTGAGAGTTATAAATGAATTGAAGCGTCGTACTATTATTTTAAAGCTTGGACTTGAGGTAAGTTGATTAACACTTGCTCTTTCTGAGGAATTTTCTCTAAATTCATATTTGAGTTATTACGTGAGTTTGTAAATGTGCATCCATACTTGTGGGGACAAGCGGGAAAGGATGTCACCATGTATTTGGAGTTGTATTGCATAAAAAAAGTTTTGTTGTTTTACAATTAAAAATTCTTGTTTCTAAAGATTCGATGTCAAACGGTGCTTGAGGAAAATGTTATAAGTTTTATTCAAACTTGAATCTTGGAAAGAATATAAAATATTTGAGTGTCGAAGATGTATTTTTATGAAAAGTATTTTCTTTTGAAACTTGATTAATGGATAGCACTCGTTCTATCTTTAAAAGATGGATGTTAAATTGCTAAAGGCTTTAACATGAAAAATATTACATGTTTGATTGTTTTATTCAAATGGTTTAGTTTGGCCATGAGCAATGATTTAATAAAAATAGACCCTTTGAGGCTAATATGCTATGAAACTATTTTTTAAATATCAAATTTTTTGGGAGTTACTAGTGGAGACCACTAAGATTGGTTCGAATGTTGAGTTTGTTACCATAAAACTACACGTGCCGGTATAGGGACACATTCCAAGGCTAAGCCGAGGTTTGTGGAATAAAGTCCCCCATTGACAGGGCAAATGATCATTACTTAAAGTAAAGAGATTAAGTCGACTCGTACGACACTACGGGAAGCCGTCCAGATAAGTAGGGTCAAATACTTGTTGCTACGTCGATCACCTAGTAGTTGTTTATTATGTCGGTGTCGGTATAGTACTCCCGGTGAAAAGGTAAAAGGTAATTTTATTATGTTTAGGCCTAAGGAGCCAAAAGTGATTTCAATGACTTAATGAGGTTGAAATAATTTTACATGATTTTATTAGAATCATGGGTTGGTATAAATGTTTTAAAAATTTATATCATGATTTATATTTTTCTAGTCTTTTCATTTAAAATGATAAAGAGCATGAATTGATATAATTGTTATCGTTTTATATCAATGTTGGTTGTATTATTTTTGTAAAGCCTTGTCCCAGAAACTTTAGTTAGAGAGAGTCTATGACACTTATTTAGTACCGTCGTGGTGTACTCAACCTTCAGGGGCCCTTCTCCAGGGTCCCACTTACTTTACATGTTTTCAGGATAAGACGTGGTACATGATGAGCTGATGGGGCAATAGGATGACTCTCTTTCCAAAGCATATAGAAAGGCACCACTTCTATTCAGTGGTAGCCTTCATATTGATCTTACTTACTTTTGGTTGGGTCTGTCCCAAGTATTTATTTTATCATTGTGTCTTAGAGATTCCATGACAGTTGTTATTTTTTTTTGAGTTGTAATCGAGAGTTATTTGTATGCCATGCATGAAAGAAATATTGTTATTCTTTTGTATTTTTCAATTATTGAAAAATAATGGATTCAAAGACTTTGTTTCATGTATAGTTTTAATCATTTAAAATGATTGTATTTTCAAAAAGACTTCCGAATGTATTTATTCTGCATATAGATGGACATTCTTGTAAGATTTGGTTCTCCTGGGTTGGATAATGTGTCAGGTGCCGGTCACATAATTTTGGGTCGTGACATTTAATATACATGTTCGTACAGTTTAGTTCTTCTTAAGTTGAACCAAGAGATCAGTATTCAAATACCATTTGAAGAATCATTACAGTATCCATTTCAAAACTGCCACTAACATTTAATAAGTGGTTTAAAAAGAGGCAAAAAGCTTAAGGTAGTTCAAAACATCCACATGGAACGTGTCATAACACAATCGATCCATATGGAATTACCCTTGAATGAAACGACACATGGGACTCGTACACTCTTGATCTAACGGTAGGTGGAGCATACTCCCTCGTCAAATCAGGTTCATCATTCTCGTCCTCATCATCACCCTCATCGGGGAAGGGTGTGTCATCTCCAGACTCATCATCATTATTGTCATAATCATTATCATCTTTCTGACTCTGCGCATCTGCCAAATCCCGATTAAATTTGTCGTCTTTGGGCAATTGAGTAAGGACAAGACATTCAAGTTGCTCGTTTTCACTGCACAACCAATAAAATAATGAGTTTCTCAAATTCAGCCAAACTTTACATAAAAACTTTACACTTAACTTACAAATCAAAATGTGTTGATATCCCATGATGCATATTATCCTATTGTTGATGACTCCCGGATAGACCACCATGATCCAACACACCAAAATTAGGCATATTCCAACTGTCCGTTGGTTCATAACTTGTAAAATTCATATATGCCCGGTGCCCCTTGTGGAATATGAGTTTTAATACAAATTCAATACATAAAAACAAACATCGTAACACAAAGAAAAATTGAAGTTTACCACTCGGCTTGTGGATTATGTAAACTTGGGGATAAATTATGTCCTCACTCCTCATTCGCTTGTGGAGATAAGTTTAGATCTGGCCAAATTCTTTCACCCGGAACATGTTCAGATAAAACTGCTCCAAAAAAACCACTCGATGATTGAGGGATATTCCTATTTTGCGGGACCTCATTATTGCGAACGTTTTTATCACAAGAAGTTCCCGATGTTCATCCGGATTCCTCAAAAAATATGTCATAGTTTCATCGTCTTAGATGTTAAACTCAGCATAACAAGCAACCCCTTGCGGAGTAACAGAATACGGATATCTTCTGGTTACTTTAATATTAACCGAATGTTTGCTTACACTCATTTTTTTTTACATAACAACGATACCAATCTATCATACTCCATTGTAAGTGGCAACTTAACATGACACTATGGAAAACAACTATAGCGTACTGAGTTATTCTCCACCACAACCTCACCCCCCAATATAATGAAACCCTAATTTTTCGCTCTTTGGACATTATGACAAAATGTAAAATAACTTAACGAACAAATATTTCGGAAGATCTGAAGGATCCTAAATGGATTTTACCAAATTATAAAACTTCTTAAATAAGGAAAAAACCAGTACGGGGTACAATTATTTCATGTATAGCACATGCATAATAGGCGCTATATATGTAGCGCATATACTGCATGCGGTATATCCATATGAATTATTGGTGGGGCAGAAAAGTTCAAATATAGCGCGGTTATTCACCACACTATACCTTAACGGACAAACATATAGCGCGTATACTATATGCGTTATATTCATATGAATTATTGGTGGAGCAAAAAAGTTCAAATATAGCGCGATTATTTATCGCGCTATACCTTAATGGACAAACGTGTCATTAAGGTATAGCGCGGTGAATAGCCGCGCTATATATAAAATGGTAGTCAATTTTTTTTTTCCACATATTTTTGTTGTTTGAGTCTAAAAGAACCACAAATTGATTCCGGACTCCAAGATAGGAGACAAAAGCCACATAAGCGGCTAACATTCACCAGATCTAAGCCACGTGTACGGTAAAAGAGGGTTTAACAGTATAATCTGATAATGCTGGTTCAGTTACAATCTTGTAGTCTCCACGAGAGCCGATCGTCCGATCCTCAGTCACCATAACAACCGCTCTACCCCTCAAAACAAAAAGAGAATTAAAAAAAAAAAAAAAAAAAAAAAAAAAAAAAAAAAAAAAAAAAAAAAAAAAAAAAAAAAAAAAAGAAGAAAAAACTCTCCCTCAAAATACAGGCGCTGGCCGCCGATGATGCCGCCGGAAAGTTGACCTTGCCATTCCTGGTATCTTCGTCAATTTCCAAACGTACGACCCTCTCTTTGCTATTTCCCAATTCACAATTTAGGGCTTTTAACTCACTCAGAATTTTCACTCCGCTTCGAATAGTAGAACGGTAAAAGTAAATTTTTAGCTGATAATTCTTCTTACATTTTGTTTTCTGTGAATTTGAAGTGTAGGTAAAAAAAGTTATGGGCATTTTGTGGCTGTCAAATTCGTTGAAGTAAAAAGCTGCAGAATGGTTAGTGTTTCTAGTCTTTATTAGAAGCTCCATAACGTGAGTGTTTGTTCGTTGCTTTTATTGTATTTAGTTCGCTGTTGTGAGTTTATGCTATTTTACTGGAATTTGTATGAACAGTTGTGCTTAATTGAACATTTCTTTTGCCTTTGAGCTTCCATTTTGAAGCTCGACGTGACGTTTAAAGACTTTTGGTTTGTAAAATTGCACTTCAAATTTGAACTTTTGGGGTGCTTATTAGAAGAAAATTATACTCTTTCTGTTACTAAAAGAGTGGCTGGTTTTGCGGGAGCAAGGGTTAACATACCTAATTTTAATTTTCACTATAAATATAGACGTCGATTTCTTAATTCCTATGAAATAAAACTTGCACATTTACACAGAAGATGGTAATCTAAGGCAATTGTTTTCACTTTTTGATTGTAACAGTGTCATTCTATTTGAGATGAAGGAGTATTAATTTCGTTCAGGCGTCCAGTCAGTGGAACAATTGAAATTCTGTCTGAATGGCTTGGATTATTTACTCTTAAAGATAATATGTTTTTGGTTTTGCTTAATACTTGTACTCAGTGGTGAAAGTAGTAGTGTTGCTTTAGTTTTCCACTTTAAGCTCTAGTCCATTTCTTAAAGCTGAAATTGTCTTAGAGATCAATTTTAATCCATTTCTCAGTAACAAAAATGTTGATGAGATACTATGATTTTGCTGATATCTTCTTTGTGATGCGTCTCATACTTAGAGGCTGTTTAGTTAAGCTTATAAGCTGGTCAAACTAGCTTATAACCACTTTTCGGCTTATTTACGCGTTTGGTAAAGTTTAAAAAGCTTATAAGTCAAGTGCTTATAAGTCATAAATAAGTTAAAAGCCATAAGCTGGTTACCCCCAACTTATGAATTTTTAGCTTATAAGCACTTTAAGTTTGACCAAGATTTTTACTATTTTATCCCTAAAATATTCCTTTTTAAAACAAAACTCCTACTACATCGATATTCACTGTCTCATATTTCTTCAAACCTAAATCCTCCGTCTCTTCAAGTCTGCAATTCTCGTTGACAATATTTGAGGTAAGGAAATTCTCTATTCCTTTGCATATTTTGTATCTATGTGATTGTGTATTAATCTTTGAACTGTAAGTAATAAACAAGGACATATCAATTTTTTGGTGTATTGCTTTTTAAGTGTTGTATTAATCTCAATGGACACTGGTGATGAAGACAAGAGATAAATTATTATTATTATTATTATTATATAGCTTATGATTATATACTTATCAATAAAATTATACATATCATAAATTTATCTTATCTAATCACATTTGTATTTAAAGTAAAATAACAAATATATTATTTTGTATTTGAATCGATCTAGAATCTAAAATTTTGAAGAAATTACGCCCTTATAGTGTAAACACTTCTAAGGTTATTTAAGTCATTTTAACAGAAAAAGAGATTATCAGCACTTTTTTACCAAACACTGCAGCAGCTTATTACCAAACGCATAACTACTTATTTATTAAATCAGTTTCAGCACATAAAAGTATTTTTCAGCACCTAATGCTTATCAGCTACTTTAAATCAGCTAATCCAAACGGGCTCTTAGTCTTTGCATCAAGTTATATATAGTTTATTTTGTTGGTTAATGCTGAGAAATTCTTGTCACACCGTCGTGATATCCCTCCCCCCCNTGGAGAAACAGTTTTTGATAGCTCATCAAGAATCGAAGCAAAGCGTACTCACCGATTGTTCTCCGGTGCTGCTGAACCAGAGTTATTTCCTAACAAGAAACAAGCTGTCCACACTTCACTCAGCAAATCAACTTCCGGACTTGCAATGACAAATTCCACATGTTGGGAGACTACTTCTGGTCTTCAGTCAGGAGCATGCCAATTCATTGATAGGCTGTTTGGAGTTGATACCACCAGGCCAATCGACTTAACCGAGAGAAGCACGTCTCCAGGTAACCCAGGGAATTCCACCACAAGGAAAAAGGTGATTGACGACCAAATTGGAGATGATACATTAGTTGGTTTATCAATGTCATACACTACTGAAGAACCACAGATATGCATAAGCGATAGTGGAACCAGAAAAGTTAAAGTTAATCAGGTCGAAGATTCAGCGAATGATTTTCGTTTACCAAGTGAAAACAACATTGACATGTCTATCGGACAGGTAAATAATAGAGTTAGTGAGACATCCTTTTTACCCATGGGTCCTGCATATGGGAAGAACGGTGAAAGTCAGCCCTACAATCCTGGGGCTATAAGTATTGGAACCATCGGATCCAATGTTGAGAAAGGTCACAGCACTATGTCAATTGCTGACTCCTATACCGGAGGGGATTCAGACACATCATTTGGATATGAATTGGTGTCTGATATTGATGTTCTGGCAAGACCAGTTGGTAGTTACGATTATTTGCATTATCAATCGTCAGTTCAGACATCAGAAACACATGGTGACAAGCAGCTGCATGGATCAAATGCTAATGCAGTTGATATATCCTATCAGACTTCAAATTCTCCGCATGATTCCATGCCAAAAAACAAAATAGAATCTAAACCTGCACGTAAAGTAGCTCCTAACAGCTTTCCATCAAATGTTAGAAGTTTGGTGTCAACAGGGATGCTTGACGGGGTACCTGTAAAATATGTCTTGTCCCGGCAGGTACATTTCTCTCTGTTCAAATTTCATTAATTTTGCTGTCAACGTCTTACCAGCAATCTTCCTGCGTCTTATAATTAAGGAGCTTCGTGGTATTATAAAAGGTTCGGGCTACCTATGCGGCTGTCAACCATGTAACTATTCAAAGGCAAGTTATTCACTTTGCTTTTTCATTCATATAATTATGTTTTTTTCCTGTATGCTGATTTTTGCAATTATATACGCATTTGAAGGTGCTTAATGCCTATGAATTTGAGCGTCATGCTGGTTGCAAGACAAAGCACCCTAACAATCACATATACTTTGAGAATGGAAAAACCATATATCAGATAACACAGGAGCTAAGGAGCACACCACAGAGTTTGTTATTCGATGCGATTCAAACGGTGACTGGTTCCCCTATCAATCAAAAAGCTTTCCGAATTTGGAAAGGTAGTTGTATCCAAATTAATGCTCTCTCTCTCTCTCTCTCTCTCTCTCTCTCTCTCTCTCTCTCTCTCTCTCTCTCTCTCTCTCTCTCTCTGTTTGTGTGTGACAAGTCATCAAATATCTGATGCATATGATTTATGTTCGAACTAATTCTCATCATCAGAGTCATTTCAAGCTGCAACCCGAGAGCTTCAGCGAATATATGGAAAGGAAGAACTGAATTTGTAAGTTCAATGCTGGTGGATCAATGGGAATATTAAGAATATTCTTTTCCGTGTAAATAAGAGACAAATAACTTTCTTTTAGTCAGTCATGTATATGTAAGGAATGTGATGTAAAATATGTGCACTATATGCTTCGGCAATTGTAATTTGACACTAAATAAGATTGCAATGGCAGATCATGATCTATTTCACTGGGGGAGTACGGCTATCCAGTTATTCACAGTATTTCCATGACGGATTGCAAGTTTGGTCCTTAGCTTTCCTTTTTCATTTCCTCGGGAGTGGGGCGAGGAAACTTTTGCCTCGTATCTCCAGTCTTTTTCAGGTCGACGAAGACTTGCTCTCTTTGAGACAGCATCAGGAAATTTGAAGTATATGGTAATAATCCATTGTAATATCTATAAAGAAGTTGCCTTGTGAGAGATTTTGGGTATGTCAACAGTATTAATACGAACAAGGTCATCTGTTTCCACCCAATTACTGGTTCATTTATCGGGTTGGTATAAACACCCGGCGAGGGTAAGTTTTTTGCCCTAATGTTAATAACTTTCTACGTGCTCCAGTTATCCAACAAAAACGTTATTTCTTGCACTTAAAATTCAGAGACAGCCAGCTAAAAATTATCAATTATCATGTCCTTGAGTTAATAATGAAGTTGAGGAGAGGAATTACCAAAGAGGTGACAGAGGGTGAAGGGATTCGCATCCGACAGTATCTTGATTGTGCCTTATTACTCCCTTGCACACCACTAGCATCAAGGAGAGGATTAGCTTATAGCCATGTGGGGAATTTTTTAAGTAGTACATTTCTTTTTTCCGTTCATTTTTCTTTTGCAGATAAAGGATAAAACTTTAACTAACTTATCATTAGAAGCAAATTAAAATAAAATAACTAATAATCGAGTACAAAGTACAGTCACATAATGAGAGCATTGTCCTAATAAAAAAAATACATTTGTCAAAAGATCATAATTTGATTCATTCTCTGTCATCAATTTGGGGGAAAATATCATTTTGTCAAGAGTTGAGAACCAAAAACAATATGGTTAATCACTACTAGAAATCTGGTAAAAAGCGACAAAAAACCAACTAATTTTGGTCGGTAATGGCCAATAACCATCCAAAACGCGATCATTTAAGTGTGGATGGTATTTTAGAGGTCGGAAAGGAATACCGACCAAAGTTGGTGGGAAATTACCGACCAACTTTGGTCGGTATGCTCTACACGACCATCTGACACTTTAATAGGATTACCGACCAAACTTGGTCGGAATATTATTTTATTAATTTAACTTAACCGACCAAGCTTGGTCGGTGTATTAAATTTATTATTTTTTTGTACCGACCAAAGTTGGTCAGTATTGAATTTTTTTAAAAAAAATATTATTAAAATTTTAAAAAATCGACCAACTTTGGTCGGTAAACTGGACTGGGTAGGCAGAAAATCGACCAAAGTTGGTCGGTAATGTTGAATTCTGGGAATTCATTGTACATTAACCGACCAAAATTGGTCGATAAACTGTAATTTAATTTTTTTTATTAGTAACCGACCAAGGTTGGTCGGTTTTCTGGGTTTAATTTTGGCAGAAAATGCCTGTTTTGGTAGCTTGTCACGACCCAAAATTCCACCACAGGCGTCGTGATGGCACCTAGTCTCTAAGACTAGGTAAGCCGATTTCAATTATCTTTTGAAGCTATTTTTTTTAAACAAATAAATAATCAAAACTGACAACTAACAAATATGAATATACAACCTCCCAAGACTGGTAGTACCGAGTCACGAACTTTAACTGAATACATAGAATGATCACGAGGACCGAATATACAATACTGTTTGATTACAAGTTAACAGTACAATGAAATAAAAGGACTCCAAGGGACTGCGACGACCAAGCAGCTCTACCTTGAATCCTTACGATCTCGCTTTAACTCTGCTCAAGTCCGTTATCTTCAATACCTGGTTCTGCACAAAATGTGCAGAAGTGTAGAGTGAGCACACCACAGCGGTGCCCAGTAAGTATCAAGACTAACCTCAATGGAGTAGAGACGAGGTACAGTCAAGACACTCACTAGTCTAATAACCTGTGCAATATAATATACAAAATAATATGAAACAAATAATAATAAAGGCAGGATAAAACAACCAGTGATATGCATAACAGACAACAAGAATACCATTAATATCACCCAATAATTAATAAACATAATTACACCCAATTAAATCAAGCCCTTCAAATAAATGTCTTTCACATAGTTCTTCTAGATAACTCTCTTCCAAATATAATTTTCTCAAATAATTATTTTTCAAATATAATTCTTTCAATAAATCTTTTCAAATACAATTTCCTCAAATAAATATCTTTCAAATACAATTCTTTTATATAATACTTTCTAAGTAAAAATCCTTCCAAATAAATATTTTTAATATAATTCTTTCAATTAAAAAGTCACCATGTGACACCTCATTTCATAATCATTAAAATACGGGTATCAGCCTATTTTCATATTTTCACGGCACCTCGTGCCCATAATTAAATCATCATATTTCCCCGGCACCTCGTGCCCTCATTTCATATCATAACTGCACGGACAATTCACATGCCGAATATCATTATCATTTCATCACTGCACCTCGTGCCCACATTTTATATCATAATTGTACGGATAATTTATGTGCCAATATCCCCATTTCATATCACAATTCACGGCACCTCGTGCCCACATTTCATTTTATAAACCGCTTGGCAATAGCCACAGGCTCCCAATTTTAACATAAATCAGATTATTATCAATTTACTAACAACAAGACAAGTTGCACAAGGTATAAAAATAAACACAAGAAAATCATAACATCACATGAAAATTGTCGACACCACAACCCTACATCATCACATATCGTCCTTGACAATAGACACCCTTATCGCTCCTATTGCCAACCTTATCGCTCCTATAGCCACCCTTATCGCTCCGCCCAAACAATGTCAATAGCCACCCTTATCGCTCCGCCCAAACAATGTCAATAGCCACCCTTATCGCTCCTATTGCCACCCTTATCGCTCTTATAGTCACCTTTATCGCTCCGCCCAGACAATATCAATAGCCAACAAACACAACAGTGAAATGCCACCCGTATAACCACATAATATCAACGGTGAAATGTCACCCTTATCTCCCCAAAATAACAACTCACACAACACAACAATTTACATGGGAAATTATCAAAACAACATAACAAAAATCAATTCATATCACAATTTGCCCAATGGCCACAACCAAATTTCAAAGCTACAACCAAGTCAATTAATTTCACAACGAATAGCCAAAAGCTCCACACAATGTGTACAACACCCAAAAATAATCAA